GTGTTTGTTTTATATCCTCTTTATGAGTTAATAAAAGTGATTTTTTTTTAATTTTAAAATATTTTGCAATCTATTTATTAAATATTACTTTTTTAAAGTTTATAATAATAATAATAATAATTCTTATAAAATAAAATATTATATTTGTGAGGATAAATTACAATCATTTAATAAATATTTTATTTTAATTTACAGCATATATTTATCTATGTATTGTTTTATTGTCAAGATTATTTAATTTATTCATATAATAAAGCATATTATGGTTTATTTTCTTCGGGTAACTTGCAATTTATTATTTTAAATTTATTTTTGCATATTAACCCGTGATAACTTTCGTCGCGATCCTCACAATAACGCTTCGAACTTTGAAACTCCAAATTACTTCTCTCATTATTGATATCGAGAAAGTGCTTAATTGTAGATGATATACGAAAACCGAAATATTAAAATTACTTTTCTTCATAGCTATTACTTACGAAATGTCGATTGTAGGCAAAGAGGTTCACAGTGATAAATAAAATGTTGTCAGCTGATGTAGAAACTGCATTTAAACAAATATATTAAAATTTTGTCACAGATAATTGTAAATTCTTAAGAAAATTTTATCATGATACGAGACTTCTTTGTGTACCTGCTGATGTATCTACTAATCATTTGTTGTTTCAGATCATCTACTAATAGCATATAACACAGTAAAATATGTTATTTACTGTTGTTAATTTGTATCAGCTGGCAATATTGATAAAATTTTGATAATCTACCAACAAAATCTATTGATCAGCTGACTAATTTTAAGATAAAATTATGGCTGGTCAATCCAAAAAAAAATGTTCATATGCATTACAATATCAATATACATTACATACGTAATTGTTTATTTCAATAATTATAATGCTCTAAAAAATAAAAAATGAATGCCGTTTATTTTAATTTCACATAAAATAGAAGTAAATTCTGTTATTAAAATAATTCAACGTTAGTAATGAAATCGCTAGTGTGCTAATTTTTACACTTGGAGTCAAAATTTAAAAAATTACCAGTAATTTATTAGTAAATTACCATATTACCAGTAATAAAAAAGTCAATAAATTTACAATCCCTGTTTATCATTAGTTAACTAATGTTATCAAAGTTAGTGCATCTCAAATATACAATTTAAAATACTGTAAAAAGCTTATTGTATTCAGAACTGTCTTTATCTTCAGGTAAATAGGCGTGTCTTAGCTATCTTTTCAGACAATTAGTTCTAACATATGGCTAATAATATGCATTTGTCATCAGTCTTAATCGGTGCTTTTAATGTTAATTGATATTTGTTCATGATACAGCAGTAATTAATAAATGCTAGCAGTTTTATTATATGCTGGATGAATTACTATTAATTAATAAATCTTAAAAATATATATATTTTTTTTTTTCATTGTTTTTCATATCAAAACAACTAAATGTTCTTTAATATCAAGGTCAGTAATTCAGAATTTCCACTAACTGTAGTCTTATTTACTCGTACTACTAATTTTTATATAGATAAATCTCCAAAGTGATTGTATGGTAGAACTTATTTATTATAATGGTCCACCATGGCCGAGTGATTAGAACCATTGAACAATGGAAATTGGTCATGGATTTACAGCTTGCAACTCATTGGCCAAATGGAGTTTTCCTGGTTTTCTTCACATATCTGACACCTACATAGGGGTCAGTTTCTGGTAAAGTCTTATGAGACACGCCACTTTTGACAGATTGCCCAAATCTTCGATCACCTTATTCCATCAATTCAATTACAAAAAATATATATTGATTATTTTGTGATAATATGATTTGTTGTATTGACAAGGTGGACAAACAATCAAAAACATAATTGATAGTTGAAAATTTTAGATTTTATGAAATGTTCTTTTACTCACTAAAAAGATTGAAATTTTAATACTTGTTTGTATTTTTAGAGCATTTTTAAATACACAAATGATAATTCTGAATGAAAATCAGTCCAGATTTTTTAATTTACTTATTTTAATTAGAAAAATACATTTAAAATATGTTGTTTCTGGAAAACAACTGAAGAATGGATGATTACATTTATGACACAGAATTGAGTTTCTTAACTGAACATAATTTTATGTTGTAGCAATTAATGTACATTACTAAATGTTGCTGGAAGACATTTCATCACAGGATAAAGTATTACAAAGTGAAAAATTACCATATGCAGACATTTACAGATAAGTATAATGAACATACACAGTTGAATGGATGGAAAATTTTAATCAAATTTATGGACCAAGAGGAGGAATGTTTAATATTTAAAGAAATAAAGAATGGAATGATTGATGAAAACTTTGAAAATTAAGTAAGTAATCTATTTATTGATTATGAAATTACAGGTTCTTCATTGATTTTCCAGCATCTGATGATCCGATACCTCTTTCGATCAGGACAGAATCGTGAAAGGACACTTAAAATTCCTACAACTGTCAAACCAGTTCATTGACACGATGCATTTACTCACATTGTCTACTTTGCAATTGATTGCAATCACTTTGTTCTATGTGATTATTTTTAGCTTGTTTTGCTTGTATTTAATTCTAGCTGTGGCTTCAAAAAGTATCCATGGTATCAAACGTAAACACTAGTCCATATTTAATATATACTTAAATTCTAACAGTCGAGAGTACTAAAAACATTTGAAGCATGTAATTAGCACTCTAGAGTTTACTGTTATGCGACCTCTGGAAAATCTTTGAAACCGAGCATGCCGGAAATTCAATGGTTAACCTGTAATTGTATATATACTAGAGAATTAGGATAATATTGAGTAATGAAACCATTTGTGTTAAATTTTTAAGAACAATAACTATTTTTCAAAAAGGTTTTTTTTATTTTAAGAATTATAAAATGTATAACTTTTTCTAATTAGCATAATAAATATTATTTCTAATTATCTGTTATGTATTTTTAGATAAACGTTTAGTATCTCTCGTTTTGAAATTATTTGGAAGTGTCGGTTAAATTATTTCATTTTATTTTGTAATTTTGGCTGTGGCATCTTCTGTATATCAGTCTACAACAGTCTCGATCTGGAGACGTTCTGTAAACGTCTACTTTGTATCTTTGGTTAGACGAGTCGGAACCTTCTGTCATTTCTTTGATTAAAGTTCTCAAGGCTTTCTTAACTGAAATATAACATTATATTAATTAATTAGGGAATTTTTCTAAACTTAAAATAAAAATGCATGCAAACTGCAATAGAAGGAAAAATTAATAATAAGAATTAATTTAGAAAAAATTACCTTTATCTTTTCCATAATTTTCTAAAAATTGCGTCGTTCTGTTTTTAGGAAATTTTGTCGATATTTTCTTAGATAAAATATCTACTGTTTGAAATGGTACATGTATTGTTTTGTTTCTTATACAATCTAAGGTTAGTTGTGTTTCAGGAAGCATGTTGTTATTGTTGTTAGGAATTCTGTTATGTAAGAGCTAGAAAAAAAACAAAGGCTTTTAGCAAATAATTTTATAAATATCTTATACAGTATAGAGATTCTTCACTAAAAGTCTGTGTTTATATAACAGATTGTTGGTTATTTAATATACAGGGTGTATCAGAATGATGTTTTAAAAATTTGGGGAATTGTAGAGGATGAAATTTTGAACGTTTTGATATAAGGAACCTATAGCCATTTACATATAGTTTATTCAATTTGGTGATATAAAATTTGCCCTATATAGTCAGGAATATCAGACTAAAAGTCATTCTACTTATCTGCAACATTATAGACTACAGTAGAACCTCGAAAACTCGGCCTAATGTGAACCGAAGGGTAGCCAAGTTTGTGAAAATGCCGGGTTATAGGGAATGGGGTTAAAAAAGGATAAGTATGCGTGATTCCTCAGAAAATACTGTACTGTACTTGTATGTATTGTTTGCTTAAGAATACAACAGAGAATAAACTGCCCAAATAACCTTAAACAAAGAAAAAGTACATACTTTATGAAGGCATAGAGCCTTTACTAAATGAAAATGAAAATTAATGAATACACCGTGTACAGTAATTTACCTGATAAGACAGACCTCAGAAAAATACTTTATGAGAGCTTTTATACTTTTATAAAGATGTCTATAATGAAAATTAATTAACTAAGGATTTTTTTGCTATGCCAGGGTGTGGCTGAGTTATCCGGAGTGCCGGGTTATCGAGAGCTGAGTTTTCGAGGTTCTACTGTACTAACTTCTGTAACTATTAGGCTAACCTTAATGGAAATATATACATCATAGACTATGGTTATGATGTGGCAAATACATCAGTTTGTTTTCTTATTGTTAAAAATAAAAAGTTATGTAAAAAGATAAATGAAATGAGATTAATTATTACTACTCTCTCATCACGAGTCAAACGAACAGCTGAATTCTAATATGGTTACATATAAATTAATTTGGAAGTGAAGATTGGACAGAGATCTGGGTAGAAAAACTGGTAACATGCCTGCACGGTTATAAATTTTTTTTAAATTGCACACAGACTTTATGGACATCCTGTATAATCTCATCAAAATTCTATGTATGTCAGGCACAGAATTGAGTGAGCAAACTGGATAAACTCCTATGTTATTATGAATGATTTGATAGCAAGTCAGTGACAAAAGTATACTATGTTTAAAGGAAAGTTTAATAAATAAATAAATAAAATTAAGAAGAAATAATTAAATTAACTAGTTAATTACTGTTTTCAGTATATAACGATAACTTTTAAGTGAAATGTTACCGAAATAAATACATAAATATTAAAATACAATGCATAAGATAGTACTCACTCTCATGATAGTATATATAAAAAATATTCCAATGGCAATGCTGTAAAAAGGCATGATAAATCCAAATGTGGTACTACTTCTCGGCTGTGTAAAGGTTGTCCATCTGAATGGATGAATGAACATCTAAATAACAGAAATAATAATAAAAAAATTAAAAATTGCATTAGTTAAGATTTCAAAAATTTGAAAAAATATACAGGGTGTCCCTTAAGTCTGGACCCAAAGGACATATGATAGATTCATATTCAATATCATAAATTAATCATATAAGATTTCAGAAGACATTTCATTCAAATATAAGAATATGTAAGATATAAAAGATGTATATTTGCCAGTTATTTTCATCTGTTTCCAGCACATGAAATCATGTACACTTCTTAATACACTCAATGTTTTGTGCTTCTTTTTTTATTTACTTAGCTTGATGATTTTGTTTTGAGGTACCACAAGAATTTATGTCTTATTTATAATCTTATTATATATTTAACAATACAAGAATTTTGACATTGTACATAAATGTTACTATATAAAGATTTGCGTCATTACAAATTAAAGTACGCACAGAAATTCTATATTATAACATGTTTTAATTTTATACACGGTTTATTAATATTTCTAAGTGTTTTCATATTAATTTATATCTAAATTTATTGTTCATAATCTTAAAAAAAATGTTAAAATTATGACTAACTCTTGGGTTCTTTTTATTATATCCATATTCTTCGGGGCGAGTTTCTCCCATTGTTTCTCTCATCACAGTTGGAAGGTAATCTTCCGGAAGAGGATACACTATGGGAGACAGTAACGGTCACATTATTAATATCTTATCTAATAACAATATTGAAAATGATACTTTATATACACTAAATTAATTTTCAAATTAACACTCAAATTTATATACATATTATATTCTCATTCAGTAACCATATTATCTCTTTTTTGGCATTGATGATAGAGATATCAATATATTACATATATGTACTGTACAATAGAAATTTTATGTTTTTTATAAAATCTAATCAATAATTTTATGCACTTTTGAATATATCCAATAGAAGAGCCATTTAAGATTAGACTACAAGTATTGTATGAGACAAGTAATTTGTTAGTTTCTGATTAGTAAATATTTAGTAATTACCATTACTTATCCTATAAACATAGAACCCTCTGCTATATGTATACACTTACAACCAAATTTGCTTACTTACTTGAAATGTCATCACCAGATAACGTGGCAAAGCTATCCTGCATCATGGGATAAAAAACTTTAGGCCACAAAACAGCAAAACAACATATAACCGCAACTAAAGAGAAAATGCATCTTCCCGTCCCTATTTCCAAAAACATCATCAAAAACTAATTTCTGGAGTATTAAATTGGAATATTCCGCATCCCCGACCTCTTCTGGATGCTGTTTCCAAGGCAACGGATCGTTTTAGATATTACGATCGATAAATTTGATGTAGGACGATGCGCAAGTTTCGCATCTCTATTGCTGCTGTTGATAAATCGAAATTAGTGATAAATGCGTATGACATTTATTTGCAAATGCGAATCTTCTTTATATATTGATTGCAAATACCAGTCGACCCCCCTATAACACTGTTGGTAATTCCGTTTTATACGAATTCCATGTTGTACGAGTCACTTAGATTTTACAAATACGTGTGCCGGGCTGTGAACGGCTCACGTATTTTGTAAAATTTTTAGTGAAAAGAAAGGCTATAAAAATATATATATAATTCTTTTTACTTTTCTAATGCAAAACATATCATTTACACCACCGTGTATTAACGGGTAAATAAAGAATTTAGGAAGGTCTTTAGTTAAAAATTTCGTTACGAGATGGCACACATGTAGCTTGACATACATGCAAAAGAATATAAAAATTATATTCTTATCATTAATCCTACAGCAAGTTCTTGCTTATTTAAATAGTTGAGCTTTAGTAGAGGTGTGCAGTACTAAATAAGCTCAAAGGTCTCTAATAATTTTTAATATTAAAAGGATAATGGCATCAATTTAATCTTTACAGATAAAGATACCGCTGAAAGAAATGTCAGTATATAGCATATTAATTTCAGTCTAGAAGTTACAAGTTAGTATAATGTCATCAGACTCTTTCTTCTTCTATGGTAAATCAGTGAATTTGTTTTAGTCTATTTTAAAAAATTAGCTTTGCCTCGGAGGTAAATATGAGTAAATTAATGAATTGTAGATGTGTTTTACAGAAATGCCTGGACCCCCAAGTGTCGAGGGCGCACAAAAATTGAATTATCATAAATTTTTAATACTTTTTCATTAGCAATGAGAACTTTTCGTACAGTAAAAAATATTAAATCATATACTTTCCACAGACACTCGACCTATAATTCAGATTTCAACCATCCCCCGTGACCTAGATTTGAGTTAGGGGCACTAGAGCCCTATATAAACAGAGTATGGCCACTCCAACGCGTGGATGCCATCTTGATCACTAAATATCAATCATTTATTAACAAAAAGGGTAATTTCCCTGTTACAGGGGGTGGTACATTTGTTAATGAAAGGGTTACAAAAAACTTGCAACAGTTTCCAAATTATTATTAGACTTATACTCTTATTTGACAATTGATTTCAAATATACACATTCCAAATAATCACAATCAGTAACGTCAAGGATGACAATACAGAAAATGTTAACATTTACGTAATAATAATAAACAATGAAACTGTTGACTTTAGTTTATTAACATTTCTGTAATCTTGATGAAATAATTATACAGTTTATATAAGTCTTTTTTATTGACATTATTTATGTTCATTCTAAATTCAAGGAGAGAACCGCACTGGAATATCCGTTTAATATCAAGTGAATCACACAAACTTGCTAAACCTTGACGGTTCTGTAATAGGTAAAAAATCGACAGACTCAGAATTACACCAGGTGCATTGAGTATTCGAAAATTAATATAACTGTTTTCGACCAAGATAGAATATTTATTAAGATGTAATTGAGCTATCTTTTCACGTTAAAATTAATTG